GGCCGCGGCCCCGAGCGGCTCCGGGCGGCTCCGAGCGGCGCCGATCTCAGGTGAGCGCCTGCTCCGGGGGGGATCCTGGCCCCGGGACCCAGGCTTCTCGGGGCCGGCCCGTCCCCTAAGCGCGCGCCCCAGAGCAACTCGCGTGCTCGCGAGGATCGGACCCGACCCGGGGCGGGCCCGGTGGGGATCGGAGCGAGCTGTCTGGGGAGGGGAGAAAGAGCGGGGAGAAGTCCCTGGGTGCCAGCCCCTCCTGCGAGGTGGGGGGCGCTGGATGCCGAGGACCAGCTTCGGAGCAGATGGGGCACTCCAAGTGCCAAAGCTCAAGAGCGCACGGGGCAGGGGGCTGAGGAGCTCTGAATCCAGCCCTCCCCCCATACCACCCCCCAAGTCCTTAGCAGCCCCGAAGGGCAGGCGTAGGATGGACCCCTGGATCCTTGGTCGAGAATCACGTCTGGGAGGCGGAGGTGGAAGATGGGCTAGATACTTCTATCTGAGACCCCCCCAGTGAGCTTCTGCTCTGCCTGCACCAGGAGCCGGGTCTGGGGAAGCTGTCTGACCCCCAGTTTCCTTATCTGTGAGGGGAAGATCGATCAGCACCGGTCTCCCAGGCTACCGGGGGGTGGTGGGGGGTGGTGGTGGTGGTCCTGTGGGGGTAGCTGGCTTCTGGCACGACCACTGCTGTTAAGACAGTGCGCAGCAGTGGGCAGAACAGGGCTGCGAAGACTTAGGGGCCCCTCCCAAGTGAAGACTTTTGCCTCCGAGTTGGGGCTCCCAGCCCGCCTGACACACAGTAGGGACCACGGGAGGATGTGTCTGCAGCTTGTCTTGCCCACATCCGGACCTGGAAGGGGTTACCCAAAAGGGGTCCCCAGGAAGGGAGGGGCCAGCTCTTGGTTCTGCCCAGGCCAGACCTTCCAACTGCCTGAGACCAGGCAGGAGGAATTCTGGGCTGAGCCAGAGGGAAGGCAGGGTGGTGGGAGAAGTCCCTAGGGGGTGCAGGCACAGCAGCTGGTGGGGTAGGTGGTGGCCAAGTTAGATAGAGCCTGTGCTCACCCTGGGGAGAGCGTGGGCTTGCCCAGTGACCTCTGAGCCACCGCTTGCCCACCTGTACGGGTGAGACAGGTAACAGGTGAGATCAGAAATGGCCCTGCCCCAACTGTTGTCTTTCTTTTTCGCTGCCCCCTTGACCCTGAGGCACCCCGCCCCTCCCAGTATCCTGCCTGGAATCTGCCTGGATAAGCCTCACCTCATTGCATGGCAAATCTATAGGGCAGGGTAGAACTGCCCCTGT